ATGTCAAAACCTCGAAAAAAGCTCAATTTTGTGCTAAAAAAAATCAGAAAATGTAACTTTCTTCGTTTTTTTTCCAAAATGAGATTTTTCAATAAAAAATTGAAGTTTTCCCTAGTGGCGGCGCGAGACTACTAGCGCCCCTCTTATTTTGGGTGGGCAGTAGAAGGTGGCGCCCCCAATATTTGCGCCTTGTAATCAAGAGTACACAGTGTCAATATAGTAGAAGGCCGTCCCAATGCCCTTAGTAGAAGAAGAGAAAAGCTTGTCTTCTACTTCCGCCATTAGGAGCTCTACTATTGATTTGTATCCTGAAGAACACGACATACATAGAGATGGCGCCACCTTCTACTGCCCACCCAAAACAAGAGGGACGCTAGTAGTCTTGCGCCGCCACTAGTTTTCCCCCTTTTTTCTCCCGAACGGTAAGGTCGATGGGATTCCAGCTTTTTTTATTGGTATTTCGATCAAATCGGGGTGTATCTTATTTTTTCTTTTGAAAACATTGTACAGATAAAGTGTTATAGGCTTTACAAAATTAGTATCATCCAAAACAAAGCTTTTCTAATGATTTTTTTGATTGTATCTCAGGTATTTTGCTTCTTTTGAGCCTCAGGAACAACATTTTTCAAAGAAAAAAAGACACATCCAGATTTGTTTCTAGTTGTCACGGAATAAAATTCAGCCTTGGAAGACGTAGCGTGGCTGTTTGCGAGGGGCAAAACTTTAGACCATTTTTGGCCTTCGACTTGCCAAAATCTCCCGGTAAAAAAGCTTTTAAGAGTTTTGAGTCCATGGCACACTTTGTTCTACTCATCAAGATCTATCTACTCTGGAAGTTTCAAAACGTTTCGTCGAACCGTTCTCAAGGAGTCTCGAAAATTGGGGAGAGGCGGGGAGAGGGAGAGGGACGGCCCTTAAACATGTTGGAACAAATTTCTATGGACGTCACCTTGAAAGTGAAGATCGATGCGGTTGAGTATAGCTAGCACTCACAACAAACTTTTCGCGCATTGTTTCTAAATGAAAATTCTTTCTGGAGCAGATCAATAAATGATAAGAATCCTGTTTAAATGCGCTCTATCAAAATCATCAAAATTTTTCAATATATCCCCCCAAAATGCATTAAATATAGTTTCAAAACTTAATTTTTGTTACGTTTATTCATCATTTTATATTTTGAAGCTCTCTGACCCTCAAGTAGGCGTTATCGTCATCACGTGCGTTACTCTCTTGTTGTATCGCAATTCCGTTTCCTCTTTCTTTTTTTTTTATTTTTCTTTCCATCGACTCGTTGTCAGACATCCAACACTCTCGTTATTTCAGAGACAAGAAGAAATTGCGCCTCTCGAAAGATATTTATCTCGTCGATTCTTACATCTTCCAACAAACAGGTGAAGACCTTTAAAAGGCAGTTGATGTGCTTCTTTTCTTTTTTTGCATTATCTAGAGCGTAATTTCAATTGAATACATTAACAGAGCATTCATGAGGAGATCGAGTATACGAGGTACTTGATAATTTCTTTTAATTTTTTTCCTCATTTGATGCAGTAATGTCTAAAACCATCGACTCCAAAACTTTAGATTTCTGTACCTTTCCTTTTAAAAGTTAGCCAACATCAGCTTTTGACACTTTCATAACTTTTTGGAAAGAAAGAAAAACTAGGATGTGAGTGTGAATGTGGCTATACGTTCTGAGAGAATACGGAAATTCACACCGACATATCCAGACTGCCAACGTACTTACACCGGCACGCACAAACAATGCATACTCACAACCAAATCCCACACTCTCCCCACCCACACTTACACCCACTCGGTATCCATACTGACAACCACTAAAACTCACAAAAAGACAGCTCACACTCGCGAATACATACGCTCGTAACTCCTACCCACGAAAATTCATACACTTTTATGCTCCAAATAGCAGTGATCGTTACTGCATTCGTTTTTCTGTTCTATTGTTGGCACTCAACTCTCCATGATTGCTCTCATACTCATGCTTTCTTTTGATTCGTTATTGCACACGTTGCATTGGTTTCTCTTCCACGACAAGAAGCAATTGCGCCTCTCAGACGTTTTTTTCTCTTTCATTTTTTTTTTCAACAATTACCTGAAGGCCTTTAAAAGGCAGCTGATTTTTTTTGTTTTCTGTTCTAAAATCGTCGAGAAAATAATTTCAATCTATTACGCTACGCTTCTTCAACCTTCCAAGCAGCATAGACCCGGGCCTCTTTTACAAAGACGCATACAAAAACCAGCGGCATTTTTTTTTCAAGCAAGATTTATTGAAATGTCAACACACAATGACAATGCATCAGGCGCAACGCATAAAGAAAGAAGCATGGTAAGTAGACATAATTATAGCGTCAATTCTTATGCCGCTTTTTCCCAACATGAAAAAAAACTCATTTTTCTGAAAATTAGCAATGCTAAAGCATTATAACTGATTCAATAGCTGACATTTTTACTTTTGAAGGCAATATCATTCATTGGACTCAACTATGGTTTTGAGAGAGTCCTGTTGGACTTTGACAGCTTCTTTTCGTTGTGTTGAGAATCTCATACACAGAAATATATCGGAAAAAGAAGTGGCGGCAAGACTTGTTGTTTCTTCCTGTACTATTTCAACTCTGTAGGACGTTCTTAAAACGAAAGTTAAAAGCGAAGCATGTTTCATACGTATAGTTTGGATTTTATATCAATCTATTTTTTTTTTGTTGTGGTTTTCCTCAGATTTCGCAGTCAATCTTTCACATCTTTTAACACAAAGTGAGTTTGAGAAACAGCAAAGTGTACTGATAACCAGTATCCTGTTTGTCTTGAGATTTGATTGATTCTTAGTGAAGTTCAAGCTTACTCTAGTAGTCCTCGGTAGCTACGCAAGAGATATATATCGTATTTGAAGTGAACCTGAACACAGTACTGATAGATCACAAATCGGCTCATTTCAGATAGATTTCTTTATCTATTGGGATGTATGATATTCGAGTTACTTTTCATTTACCTCTGGGTGATATTCGTTGAAAAGTCCTGATGTTGAGGTGGATGTATGGGTGTGGGCAGGGTGTGAGTGGAGGGTAGATGTGGGTGTGGCGTGGGGTGAGGGTGGGGTGAGGGTGGGGGTGTAGGGTATGGATGTGAGTAAATATAAGACACACATCGACACCCACACCCACGTTCACACTCACACTCATACCCACATCCACGCTCAAACCCACACCAGTGCCCCATTATTCTGTTTCAGTGCTAGGGTAGTCTTTCTGGAGGGACTCGTTTCAGCTTTGAGTCAGACATCGCACGGAAGGCGTATGCCTAAAACAGTGTTTTTTTATTAGAGTGTGAGTTGGTGTATGCTTTGCTCATATCCAACCACACCGTCACACTCCCAATCATCCTCACATCCATACCCATCTCCATCTCTTAAGGAAGAAAACGCGAACTCACCTTCGTCCTTAGCCAGTTCGAAACATAAATCTTCTAAAGACACCTGGTATACTGATGACAATTTTCTTTCTCTCTCCAAGAAAAAGAACAATGCAGCAACAGCGATCAATGAAGAAGAAGATGCGTCCGGTAATCGTGTATCTGATAATAGGCGACGAACCACGGCAAATGAAGGTAAGTGTGTCTTTTAACTAGTACGTTTCGTTAAAAGCTCATAGAAATAAATGTTCGATTATTTCACTAGAATTTTTTTATAAAGAATCTACATAAAATGTAATAGTCAGCATAAATTATTCCATGGAGTTTTCTTTGATGTAAGTGGATTATCAGTATTAAAATTAAAAACAACACAAATGATAGATGGGAGATATCTGGGCATGTGCAGATGCTGAAATTATCCAGTATTGAATACTGAACTTTTGTGAGCAGGTCTTCTGACTATTCTCAAGAAATAATCGACAACAGGGCTTTAAAGAGAAAATAGGAGATGATACTTCCAACGACCTGAGATTGCTTGAAAGGTAAGAGGATCAAAAACTTCGCTTCATTTGAAATATTTTGTTCTCTGATGTAGGACTCTTCCTTAGGGAGCCTGTTTCAAGACTAGAAAATATTTCTCTACGAATTTAATCCCTAATCACTCTCAGAAGAATCTAGTATCTAGATAATACTCTGTACTTCTTATAAGGAATAAGTGGTTGACCTGTTAGTAGAACCTTCCTCAGTGGGCACCTTGCTAAATTGGACATCTTGTGGGTGTAGGTATGGATATGAGTGGAAGGGATATTCACCTACCCACAGCCAACCTAGCTGATATCCAGAATCCGGAAACTGAAAGATTCTGTATAACTTTAGACTGCAGCACATGCCTAATAGCTAGTGTGGTATTAGACCTTCATCAATTCTATGTCAATTTTTGTGACAAAAATATAAACTGCAAAATAAAAGTCTCAGCTATTCTTAGAAGAAAGCTTGTGCTTGAAAGGACATAAAAGCCCGTCGACCCGTATGGGCGTCGTGAAGAATTTACTTCGTTTACTTTTAAGGATGAGCATCATTTAGATGCCTGATTGTTTTGAATACATTTTTAATGAATCTTATGAGAAGAAAAGGGTTCAAAAGGAAACAGTTTAATACCTAACCTTACCAATAATATCGAATAGCTGTTTGTTGATGAGAACAAAACACCCGATATAAGTATCCAATATCTGATACTCAACACTCGATTGCATCGGCATTATATACCCATATTGGTACATGCCTCATTAGGGCAAAGATAATGTCTTTTCGTTACATTCTACAAGTGCCATTGTTGTATGATTTTAGATCTATCAGGTCAGTACGACCCCGTGGCCACGACATCATCGACTGAAGTAAAGGATTGGAAATGCCGTGAATGTGGCTTCACAAATAAAGATAGTGACAATGCATGTGAGACGTGCGAAACTCCTAAGCCAATGCGTCCATGCCTTGAAACACGCCAAAGTTATTCGGACAACCGCCTGTCGACATCACCATCTGACAGGCGCAGCCCTTCTCCAGAAGACGACTTCATGTATAGTCGAGAAAATTCAAGAAACTCTCCACGAGGTCGTCAACGTAGCTCAAGTCGTGAACAGTCACCACCAAAAAAAGACGCGTCGAACAATGCAAAATCTTACTCTCATTCATCTACTGTATCAAGAAGTCGTCGAAAATCTTCCGATTCAGACGCATCGGATAATGATAGATATAAATCTTCAGAAAACACAACAAAACAACGACAACCATCTGAACGTAAGTGTCAAATTATCAAAATTCAACATTACTCTAGGGAAAATTCTTGATGTTTCCGTGTCAAACTCTTAATGGATTCAATCAGGATCCATAGCAGTTTCCGACTTTTGTTGAACCGGGAATCATTCAATCAACAAGATACGGTTTCGGGTGTGAATCCTGATTGAACTTATATCAAGTAACAGTCACAGTCACTGATACATCATTCTATTAAATTCTTCTTCAGATCTTTCTCTTATTCAACTATAATAGTTGATTGAATCCTTGTGTAAGAATCCAGATCAAATCCTGTTCAAAATTTGATAAAGTTTTGATAGAATCTTCTCTCTTATTCCTGTTAGGATCCACAGCTGGACCATGATGGAATTCTCTTAGGATTCTGTATTCATGATTTAGGAAAAATCTTGATAGAAACTTGAAGAAATCTTGGAGATAGGAACAATCAGAAATTAGGGCAGGGGATCCTAAGGAAAGCTTGACAAGATCTTTGAGAACAAGAATCCAAACAGATCCTTTCAGAATTGCTTCAGGAATGAACAGGATTGGGACTAGGATTCCGAGTATTCTCTTACTTCCATCTTTGTATCTTGAGAGTTAAATTATTTTGTGACCACCGTTATTCAAATATGTCTCTGAAAGTTTGAAACATTAACCAATGTCATCAATCGCGACGAGCAATGCTTTTTCGGCAACAGTTGATTTCAAATGTTGTCTTTGACTATTTCAGATTCAATCTATGGGCAACCGCCAACAAAAGGATCTGTCTCTTCTGCTGGGCGTGATGAAAAACCTTCAGAAGACGACTATAAACATGGAGCCAAGAAGTTCATATCCGATGCATCCTCCAGTGGTACTCGAGACTACCAGCATGAGGAAAGTGGTAGTAGACTTCAATCGAAATTGCCTTCCTCATCATCACAATCAGATCATGTTTCGAGCACTGCTTCACGTAAGCAAGAACTGATCTACCCTCAATATGGTTCAGGAGAAGAAAAATCATCAGAACAATCGGTTACAGCATATTCATCTTCATCAAAAAATAAAAGTGATAATCGTGATTTAGCAAATTTTTCTAATTTGAAACTTGGCTCCTCAGTGGATGCTGAAAAAGAGGAGCGTCAAAAAAAGCCATCAAACACAAATGTTTCTTCGAAAGAATCTTCAAAACCAAGTTCATTTCGTTCATCTTCTCCACCAGATGATAAAGAAGGATCATATTCATCGTCACATGAAGACAGTCATCATCAATCAACAGGAACAGCTGCGAAACAAATGAAACCACCTAAAAGCAAGTATTTAACTCATGAAAGTCTCATACCTAGATTGTATTTCTAGGTTTTCAAGTGAGTTTTTGAGTTTTAGTACTTGGATTCGTTTCATGAAACATTGTTCTTCATATCTAGACAACCCAGTCAGTCAACAATAGAGAAAAAACTCGTTTTTACGCGTTGAAATGTGCGCTTTTAACGTTTTGTAACGCGTTTTCCAGCAAAAAACGACTTTTAAACGCTTGAGCAACGCATATAAACGCGTTTTTTTCACTTAAAAGACAAAATATCGCGTTTATACATGTTAGAATGTGCGCTTTTACCGTTTTTCGAAGCGTTTTCAAGCGAAAAAAACGTTAAAATAATGCGTTTAAACGCGTTTTTTTTCCGATCTTGACTGCCTGGGAACTCATAGGTTTTTTCTTTCTGCCGTTCAGACGCTAGACTTAGTTCATTCAGCTCATCTTCACCATGTAAATCGAAGTGTGTAAAACTTTTCCGTGACTGGATCTTATCGGAGCCGGGCACTATTCACTGCTCCACAATTTCTCTCTATAGTAAACATTTTCGAAGTAAACATCTTAAACAATACTCAAGTTCGAATAGGTTCCTTGTAACCATTTTGTACACAAACGAATATGTTTCTAAGGAATGCATTAGATCTCAATAATGAATTTGTCAACTTGTTCTTTTTCTTGATTACAAACTAACCACGACTGTGTTGTGTTGAACGTAGAGTGGTTTATCTACAAAAAAAGACTCTTTCAAAAAGAAAACTGTAGAAAGCACATTAAGTCACTCAATCAAAAACTTTGATATTTCAGGTCCACCCTCGTCCAGAAAGTCGAATCGAGATGATCCTGTCGTTGTTTATGTACCCGATTTACCAGCCAACATCGTTAGTAATCAATTACTCGAAAATATGATTCGTCAATGTTTGGAACTTAAACATAAACAAAAAGTACTCGATGTTAAATGTGATACACAATTAGGCATCGGCATTATCTATTTGCGTGATGATGAAGATAAAAATAATTTAATTAATACCATCGAGAAAATTATAATTGAATCATCCACAAATACAACAGTATCATTTGTAGATGAACTCGAGCTTATCTCCTACATTGTTATCGATGGAAAGGATATGAAAGATCTGCCATCAGCTAATGATATATGTCAACGATGGATTCATCTATATAAAGTACAATCCCAACCGCGATGTGAACCATTATCTGTTCAATTTCCGAATATCTTTCGAATAGTGACGCATTCATTAAATGAACTACTCACAGCTTTGTCAATTAAAGAATTCTCAATCAACAATCGCTTTGCAACTGTTTACTTTCGAGCTGATTGCGCTTTCTTTGAAGATTTGCCACGAACGACAAATTTGGATCGATTGAAAGAAGCTATATGCAGTCAAATTTCTGATAAATACATGTCGAAAGAATTAATACATATTCAATATAACAAAGAGGGTGCCAATGCTGTTGTAATAACATCAGGCAGAGCTCGAATATGGGCACTACACAGTTCAATTCTATTAGATGGACGAGCTGTTATGAAGAAAGATAGTCTTGCTTGTCGTCTCTTGATACAATCCGTGCCTAAAGGCATATCGACATCACTTATCCGAGATCATAAAATATTTGCTGGTGCTGTTGTTAAACTATTGCCCAGTAATGAGCATATGATTCTCGAACTTTCGGATAAAAATATTTATGAGAAATGTATTGATCAAGGTGCGTTACGCATTGGTGATCATGTATTGGGTATTGAATCTTATACATTTTCAAGTAATCCTGAAGATAGTGAAATCGATGCCGAAAATTGGTACGAAACAGAAATGTGCGATCATAAGCCAGACATAATGCCATTTGTTTCTAATCCTCAACATCATATATTTCGATTTAAATGGAATTCAAAAGCATTTTTAGAACAATTTCGTCGTTGGACATCGAATGAAATTAAGACTGATAAGAAAGATCAAGACAAATATGAAAAAATGTGCAATCTCAAACGTCATCTACTACGAATGACAGTTATGTTAAATACGATTGGTGTAGTTAAAAGAGGTTATTATCGTATTGGTGAAAAAGAAATTAAATTAAAACCGGATCGAATCAAAACCATTCTCTACGATCATAAGTCAAAATTGCAACGTGGTAAGACAACTTCATTGTCACATGCAACAGAATTTCCCTATGCATCGACAGCAGTTAGAGTAGTAAATGAAGATTGTTTGATTGTTTACAAGAAATTAGTCAATCAAGGCTGTCGACCAGTTATTCTCAATATGGCCAATGCAAACAGTCCTGGTGGTGGTTACAAACGAGGTGACGGAGCTCAAGAAGAAACACTTTTTCGTCGTTCGAATTATTTTCAAAGTCTCGATCTTGAATTAGATGATGGAAAACCAACGACTCGCTTCTATTGTAATTCGACTTGTGAACTAGAACCTTTAGCTGAACGTGATACACTATATCCAATGGATGAGTTCGGGGCAATTTATACATCGGGATTGACAGTTTTTCGACAACCTGAAGATACTACTGGCTATGCTTTCATGGAAATACCTATGTATGATGTATGTGCTATTGCAATGGCTGCCTATCGAGATCCGAAAATTGAAAATGATCTTCTCACTTCAAAATATTCCATTGGTACACGCAAAAAAATTGAAAATATATTTTCTATTGCGCATCATCAAAAACATGATAGTCTTGTCCTATCTGCTCTTGGTTGTGGTGCGTTTAGAAATCCACCAAAGCACGTTGCAGCAATATTCAAATCAGTTATTGAACAATATGCTGGATACTTCAAATATATATATTTTGCTATTGTTGATGATCATAATACTGGTCAGGACCTTAATCCGATTGGAAATTTTCGTCCTTTTCAAAACTTGCTAGATCCTTTGGACGAAAAACCAAAGCGACATACCCTTGTCGATATGATGATTGGACCTTGGCGAATTTTAAATCAAACAAATGCTAAAGAAGTAACATTAAGTGATATAAGAATTTGTTATTTGGAGCCATGTAATTATGGAGGAAAATGTAATGACTTAATAAATGAACAGCATTGCCGTGAATATTCACATCCACCTTTATGCCCATACGCAGATAATAGTACTCCATGTAAACAGAAAAATGATAGCCAACATACGCTGTGGTTCAGACATCGTCAAAAATGTTCGTATGGTGGTGAATGTGAATTAATTGGAAAAGATCTAGCACATTCAAATGAATTTGAGCATCCTGAATTTTGTCGTGATGGTGGTCGTTGTGAAAACATGGATAGTGAACATCTTAAAGCTTATCAGCATCTGCCACTATGTCAACATCGTCGACAATGTGTTGAATATAATCGTGGATCAAATGAGCATTGTCAAAAATTTCGTCATTGTATACCAATGTGTCGTTTCGGTCATTTTTGTGTAAGATTTCACGACGAAAAGCATTTAAGTGAAGAAAATCATCCGTTTAAACAACCATGTTTATTTACTCCATTCCATTGTCGACAGTATAATAACTTATGTGAAGCAAGAAATATTAAAACATTACCAATCGATGTTCAAAATCATTGTTCCCAGTATTCACATGTATGTCGATATGGTCGTCAATGTCAAGAAACATCGGATATACATTGGAAAACCACAATTCATATTGCCCGTCACATCTGTTCTTATGGTGATAAATGTACAAAACTAAATCAAGATGATCATTTAAATTCATTCTCACATCCAGGTATAGCTGATATTCGTCTTTTATGCTCTAATCAAGCCTATGAGTGTCGAGATAAACGAAAACCTGAACATATCATAAAATATCGACATTATGGAAATCATGATCGTAGTGGTGTTATTGGTTGTTTTGGACAGAACAAGGAGATTAATTTCATTGAAAATCAAAGAAGAATTGTTCAAGCAATAAATGAGTATGCTAAAGGTTTAAATTCAAAACATCATTTATCGATTCCGTCAGAAATTCAAAAATGGATTAAAGGCTTACAACCAATTCATCGATGTTCAAAAGTCATTTTTGAGTCGATACTTGTTCATGGTCATGTCATGTCTCGTGATCATATGGAACATTTAAAAAAATCTACGTTTGCAGCTCAAGCTGTTCAAGAACATAAACGTGTGCGTGCAATCTTTGATCGCTATAAAATGTCAACAATAGACGATTATGCTAAAGAATACATTCGAGCCATTGTTTCGTCTGAATACAGTAAAAAGTACGGTGCAGCTGTAGCAGCCGGAGCTAGTACCAGTGGTTCATCAATGCCAACTGACTCGGATGACTATGATGATATTATACGTAGAAAAGAAAGAATCCTTCAAACTTTAATAAAACCGGACGAAATGGATACAATAAAAAAATGCGCCCTCGATATTGCTGAAGCCTCATGGAATCTTCATAATGCCCCATCTGGTATCGGATATGCACCTGATAAATTATTAGGTACTGATAAGCATGTTTTTAGTATTCTCGGGCCACACCTTGGCCATTATTATGGAGATATATATTTTGTGTTCAAAAGTGAAGTAATGCTTCATCCAGATGCCAATTTTTCTCCTCAAGCAGCCACATCATTTATAAGTGGAGGTACATTTTCGCATCGACCATGGGTCAAAGACCCAGGTACAGACGCTGAAAGGATAAAAAGCTTTCATGAATCGAAATTACATTGCTCTGTACCAGGATATGAATATGCAGCGGCAGCAGAACTAATGGCCGTATCAGGATTACAGAAGAAAACAATGGATGTTGATTTAAAAGCTATTATAAATCATTGGAAGAAAGTTGATTCCCATCAAGTATTCGAGGCCCACTTACCTCGATTGGTTCCTCTTGATTATATTGAAGAAGTATACATACCAAAAAATTTGTTCAGCTCATTGACTCCAGCAGCTCAAGAATCGGCAAAAAAAATCTTTCGTGATTCACTTCATATTACAGATCATGAAATTAATCTTATTAGTGGTGGTGGTGGAGGCTCACACCCGTCGGATAAGAGTCGTTCTAATTATCAAGATTTCGTGACAAGTGCACTGATAGAAAAATTTGAAAAACGAAAAGAACGTGGAAGGCATTTTCGTGGCACTGTTCTTACTCTAGCACCAAGTCAATTTACAGATCATATTGTTTTACCACTAACGATAACCGAAGCTCATGAACAATACGTTCAAACTCATAAAAAAAGTTCGAATTCTGATGATACATATATTTATTGGGAAACAATGTACGGTGATATGATGATTACTCTCTCGGATGAACCAATTAATCCCAATAAGAGTCAACCACGTATTCGATGTCTCGTTTGTTACATTGCTGAAAGACCATCAACGACAACAACCACTTATAATGAATCATACTCATATTTAAATGCAGGAGAGCCATATCGGCATGGTATTATTAAGATTAATGGTCAATGTTCAAAAAGTTCACGTTCATTTCATCGTGGATGCAATATTGAAAACTTTTTAACGTATTGTCTTAAAATCGAAAAGAAAGCAGGTCAAGTAACACTATCACATGCTGGACCGAATAGTATTTATTGTTATGAAACAATAACATGTACATTTTCGAAAACGACTCTTGACTTAAGCAAATTAAAATACGTTCATGTAAGTGCTGGTGCAAACAAAGTACCTATTCGAAACTTAATTATTACTTTTGAACAAATTTCTGATTTACATCCATCGTTTGATGGAAATTTCAAAAGAGGCAGTAATGCTTTTTCTCGTAGGAAAAGGTCTCGTAGTCGTGATCGCTCGTCATCTCCCAAAGCTTCACAATCGCCTCGTGACAAATCTCCATCTATTCTGAATAAAGCTAAAGATGCTTTTCTTGGCTTTTTTGGTTACGGTGCCGATGATGAAAAGCTTAAATCATGCCCCTATTCGATCAATTGTCTATTTCAAGAATCTTCGAAACATATGGAAGAATATTCTCATCCTTGTCCATACTCTGAACTTTGTCGTAATAAAGATAAAGAGCCCTATCTAACACATGAACCCCGCAAAGTAGAACAATGCTCATCGAAAAGTGCGTGTCAAAAACTTAATGACCCTGTTCATCGAGCGAAGTATCGACATCCAGGCTATCCTGACTTTCTTATTCCATGCCTTGATGGACAAAACTGTCGCAATAAAACATCGGATCATCGAATAAAATATTCACATGGTGAACAAAAAGACATATCGCACGATAAACCGCGTAAGTTATTGTTCTGTCATTTCACAATAAATGTCAATTTTTTATTACAATCTTTCTAATACTTAGATGGTTCATCTAATAAATCGCCATCGAAGCTTCATTCTGAATATCAAGAAAAAGAATACGATCGTGAAGGAAGAAATGATCAACGAACAATATGCCGATATGGATCAGAATGTCGTGACCAGAATGACTCCCATCATTGTTCAAAATATTCACATCCTCGTGAACACAAAGCTAAACCTTCAGTTAGTTCAAGTCATGAACGAACACCTTGCCGTCATGGCCTCAACTGTAGAGATAAAAATGATTCTCATCATTGTTCGAAATATTCACATCCAAATGAACATAGATCTTCATCTTCGGCTAGCTCAAGTCATGACAGAATACCTTGCCGTCATGGACGTGACTGCCGTGACAAAAATGATCATCAACATTGTTCGAAGTATTCACATCCAGGCAATGACCGAAGTCGAGGTCATGGAAATTCTGATCATGATAGAATACCATGCAAATTTGGTGACAAATGTCATGATACGGATCCTCATCATCGCTCTAAATATTCCCACCCAAACAAAAAATAGACAGTTTGATTTTCTTAACGTTTAATCTAGATTATTGGTTATAAACATTGTTCGATGAAATAAAATTATATAAAATTTGTGTAAACAGTATTTAAATTTACCGGTAGAGAAAGTGCTTTGACTAGCAATGTTTAACTAACATGAGAATCTCCATCGAATTCATTGTATATGTCAATAGACATATGACGAGTAGTATTAAGCGCTTGAGCGAAATTTCACTTCATATGCACAATGCCAACAATTTGAACTTCAAGTAAAGTTGTTTTTCGTCTTTTTTAATACTTGTTTTGATAAAACATGAGCTTTTGAACACGAAAAACTAGATGTTAGCATTTGTAGACGTTATTGCCAGGTCGAAATAAACTCAAAAGCTAAACATTACCATTTTTGTTTGAAAATCTGACAATATTACTTTTGATTCAGCATTAGATAATAACAAAGGAGGGTGTGCAAATGCTAAATCGCTTTCGGAAGAAAACTATTTTCAAATGGTCAATCTTCACGAGTGATGATTAATTGAAAAATGATCCAAGTATCTCGGCCTAGAAACCTAAAGTGGATGTGGATGTGGATGAGTAGGGGTGGACGAGTCACTGACTGACCCAACCATACTCTAATGTTATAACTCGTTGGTTCGTATATATACTTAGTCAAGTTCATAAGTATTCGTGGTAAGTAACCGTACTGGTCAAATGAGATATATTCTCTAGAGCAAATAATTTAATCGGAATTGCCACCAACGAGGAATTACTATAATCTTCTTATGAAAACCACACAGTATAATAAATTATAAGCAAACAAAATTGAACAGATGATCATATCAGTCAAAGAAGGATCACATATGTTGCAATCACTCTCATATTGGCCATCATTTTTGATGATGATCATCGTCACTACTATGACTTCTCAAATACCTCCAGGACGCTAATCCTTGCTACCTTCATCATTATGCTTTTCATGTACAGAATTGTGTGAATTGTGCAGTTTGCACTAGTGTTTCATGTAATCATGCAAATTACCATCATTTTTGTTTTTTGCTCGTCGGACCATCTGATTTCTTCCCAAAACCGATTAAGAAATGAGCGGACAAGAAACTGATCGATATCGGTTGGAGTTTGGGTGTGGTTGTCGATGTGTGTTTGAGAGTTTGTAACGTGTGGATAGTGAGCTGTTCTTCGTCTACACCACTACCAACAATCGTACCCAAAATCTATCTAGCTCTCCATCAATACATATTTGTTTATGGCAATCGGAATCAAACATTTGATCTGATATGCAAAACCGCTTCAGACAGATTTCACATCGATGCTTTCCACAGTTCGTGTAATTATTGAGCTTCAACGTTGCCGGCTATCGAATTATTTGATTAACAGCTACTTGATTCATTTACATACAATCAACCGACTTTGTCTCAAACAATAAAACAAATTCTGGTCGACACATCGAAACTTCTTCTTACGCTTACTGATCTAATTCTGGTTAGAAGTCGGGAGCATATAGTTAGTGCTCAACTCTTCTCTTTTTTCGTTTAGCCTGCCATAAAATATCAACAGAATAATATGGCATGATATTACACTGAATATCTTTTGCCATTGCTTCTTGCAACTTCGAACAATAATAAAACAGAAAGATAACAGTTGCACTTACATTTTTTTTTGTTCTGTTCTGAAGTAAAAAAAAGATGAAGAGAAAAAATAGCAATTTTATTTTGTTTTTTTTCTCTACTAGGTGAAACAGGTATGTCAATTTGAATAAAACATGAAGGAGAGGGAAAGAATTATATGCCGGTATTGTTTTTCGTTAGTAATGTTGAAAGATAACCAAAACTTGATCTCGAGTGACGATTAGCCGAGAGAAAAACATCAGAGGTACCATAAGAATTTCAGCACTTGCTTTTCGGAGTTATTTGCTATACAATATCAATAAACTCAGATATCTTTTGAGAATCTTAATGCACTCGATTGGAACATGAATGGTTCCTGAATGAAAGTACTAGACAATGAATCGTTGTTTTGTATATTTAAATGAGAAAATAAAATATCGTCTAAAGCATAGTTGCAAAAAGTTACAAGTCGTTCAGATATTCTTATCTGTTTAGAATTTCTACATATCAAGACTAAATTTTGTCGTGCTTTTGATAGTCTCGAAATTGAACGCAATTAATCTCTCATAAGACTATTTGGAAGGTGCAAACGAACATTTTCAATTGGCTTCTCATAATCGAATATTTGTCTTCCATTAGAGTACATCAGATCAACAACTAAAAAACTAATTTTTTGATGAGTCCTGCATGAACTTAGCAAAATGAATACTTTCTTCGATATCAACAAGTTTCGTTTACAGACCATTGAAAATCCACAACAAACACGACAAGCCGAGTTCAATCAGTACAGATGGATTCTCATAGGTTTGGAAGTAACAGTGGAAAACAATCACATGGATCAATTTTTTGACTCGAAATCATTTTCTAATCGAGATGAATGCATTGATTACATAACTTCAGACAGTTGTGATAATGAAGATCAAATTAAAAAACGACTTTTATTAGTTATTTCGAAGAAAGCTGCTGATGCCATTATCGAACTCATCTATCAGCTTGAACAAATATCATTCATTTATATTCTTAATGATACAATCTATGATGACAACGATTCAAGACGTGAGATGTAAGTTAATGAACAAATAATTCACTATCGAAATACAGATGAAATTGCTATTTTACTTGAAAGTTGAGTAGATTGTTCCCTTTGCTCATGAAAAAAAAACGTACTTTTCCCGAGATTTCTATCTGTTTGGCTAGTCTATTTCTATTTAGAAAATATATTCAACCTAAAATTCGTGGCGAATATGGCAATCAAAATTTACTATATGAAAAGGTCGCCAATGATATTGCTCATTTAGAACAATGTTATTTACCTGTGACCGTGTATTCACCATCGACTTGTAAAGAAACTTCAGTACACAGTCTAGATCATGAGTCGACTATATTTTTATGGTCTCATCTTCTAATATATGCAATTACAAAGATGCATTCACCAAAAGCAAAAATTGATATGTTAGAAGAATGCCGTCAATTCTATACCGATAATTCAATCGAACTTAGAAAAATCGATGAATTTGAAAGAGACTATGTTTCATCGAAGGCCATTTGGTGGTACACTCGTGACTGTTTTGTCTATCGCTTATTGAATAGGGCATTTCGATTGAAAAATATCGATAAAATTTATAAATTTCGATTTATTATTTCTGATCTTGTGGAACAACTAAGAATGCTTCAAAGAGAGTAAGTCGATCGAGAAGCTTGAATTCAATACCATTGTCTACCCTCTGACATTTGATCAAGTCGACGTAATAATCCTATTTTTCGTCAAACACAATTTCAAACAAATGCTCATATACGGACCCAAAAACTGCGATCGATTCATTCCTTGCTTACAGACAGTCTCTGCTGTTGAGAAGGGTTAATTTTCAGATGTTTTTTAAAAGTTTGTTAGATTTCCTTTGAGTTTTTAGATTTTGAGATACAATCAGAAGACATCAAAAATATTATTAAAATTGACAAACGAAATCTAAAGATAAAAAATCCACTGAGGTTTCTTTTGTCGTTCTATACTCTTTACCTTGCATAAACTGAGACAGATATATCAGTATGTTCTTCTCGTGTTCGTATAGACTATAATACAAAATTGTTTCTTCCAATGAAAACATGCTTGTACAATGTTTTTGTAAACAAGAAATATCACTTGAGTATATTTACCCTTTTTGGCATCTTTTCTTCACTCATATTTCAATAGATTCCGCATAAAACGAAATAGTTTTTTGGCTGTACATTGTCGTATCGTCTTTGCAGGCATCATGAAGTATCAAGTTCATCATCTATTCTCTCGGTTTATCGCGGTCAGTATATGGCTATGGAAGAAATTGAGTATTTAACAGCAAATGTTGGTGGACTTATTACACTTAATACATTTACATCGACTAGTATTGATCCTGAGATTGCTCTAAGTTTTATTCTTGATTCAATGAACTATGATGGAAATCATGCAGTATTTTTTGAAATTCAAATCAATACAGAACTTTCTTTAACAAATCCGTATGCTAAAATTTCCAGTGTCAGTACAATGCCTAATGAATGTGAGGTATTACTGTCGATTGGAATGATATTACGAATCGATACCGTTGAGAAGCAACAACTTAATGACAAAGTCTATTGGTTGGTAAAATTAAATGTAGAAAAAGAAGAAACATTACCAATACAAGAACTTTTTCAATCATTGAAAAATGATATTGATAAACAAGAATCAGATTTAGTCATATTCAGTACCATTTTATGGCATATGGGTGATTATGATAGAGCTGAAAAGTATTCAAAAATATTATTAAATGAATTAGAAGCAAATAACTCAAATCGGGCAAATGTCTACAATATTTTAGGTTTAATTTATGCATCTAAATCACTCTACGATGAAGCTATTGATGCTTATAATCAATCAATTGAGATTCGTCGTCAATCACAAGATGAAAATGATCATATTGATTTCGCACCAGTCTATAGTAATTTAGGCTGTGTTTATAGTGAGAAGCAAAATTATAAAGAAGCTTTTCATTTTCATCAAAAAGCTTTGGACTTAGCGCAAAAACATTTGTCAACAAATGATATAGGCATGTTTACATACATGATGAATATAGGTTTGGTCTACGATAATTTGAATGATTATGTACAATCGTTGACATTTTACAAGAAAGCTTTTGAAATTATCGTCGCATACATGAAATGCGATCATCCAGAAATTGCAATCCTTTTTAGTAATATTGCTTCAGTCTATGGTAAACTTGGCAATTATGAACAATCATTAGAATATCAAAAAAAAGCTCACACAATATGGACAAGAACATTGCCACCATTTCATACAAATATAGTGCAATCTCATTGTAATTTAGGCACAGCTTATGCTTCGCATGCAAATGATGATGAAGCATTAAAACATTTTCATTTAGCTTTGGAAATTCTCGAAACTCATCATAGTGATATTTATAGAAATGTATTAGCTGCATCTTGTCATAATAATATTGGCACGATCTATTTAACAAGACAATTATTTGAACCAGCATTAATACATTTTGAAAAAGCTTTAGACATTTATAAACAATATAAAAAGAGTGAATCCATAGCTACTATTTATAATAACATCGGAACACTCTATTCAAACCTTGGCAACTATTCTAAAGCTATGGAATATTATTCGAAATCGATCGAATATTATATGTTACAAATGCCAGTTGTTGACAAATGTTCATTAGCACAGGCACTGGATAATGTTGGATTAATTCAATTTCATTTTGGAATGTATACTGAAGCTTTGGAAACTTTTCGATCAGCATTTGATTTAGTTCTTGGTATTTTACCATCTGATCATCCATCCGTCATTATGTATGGTGATCATGTTGAAATGACAAACGATCAAATATCTCAATAAATAATTGTTGAAATGCCAGGCGAATCAAGAATTTCCAATTCTCTTTGTTTATGTACAAGAACTATTTTCTTTTACATTGTTCCACAGTGTGTTCCATGCAACAACTTTTTAAAATTTGTATTTTCATAACTGAAAATTTGTATAAGAGCATTTTTCGTACTTCTCTTCCATTTTCCACTGTTTCTAAAGAATAATTGAACACAAAACTTTGAAAATTTAACGAAGATAAAGATTCAAGTAGTAGATCAAAAGTTATGCTCGATTCATCATTGCAAAATGCTTCCTAAGGTGTGAGTATATATGGGTCTCTCTTTATGCAAGCTCACACAAACATTCACACCTCACACTCGTGAAAATGGCGCATGCAAAGTTTAACTACAACATATTTCAATTCGTATTCGTGGGAAAAAGAAATTATTGGATTTTCATAAACTCTAAGATCGAAACAGATGGAAATCATCATTGAACAAAATTAAATATCAACCCAAGTTGATCCAGAGAAAGAGAATGAATGATACACTTGTAAGTAATACCGAATACTACCATTCGCAGGTGGTTGTGCAGTTATCCGTTCGCTATCATCATCATTTTTGGTTTTTATTGTCGAAAGCTCAACTAACTGTAAGGTGTTGTATCCATGTCAATGTCCATTTTTCCAACAATAAACTTTTCTTTCGATCTATTTCATTGATAAACAAAAAACTTTGAACCATCTTTCAAAATAGTTTTATAATATTCAATATTGTTTTTTTGGCAAACTTGAATCTCATCATTTGGAAACTTTTGCTGCAGCATTTCTAGAATTGTCAAACGTCCTTTTGCTATTACTGTTGCATTATATGTTTGACCAGTAGAGCGTATGATGTATTATTTCTTGCCAGTTATTAGAACTCCTAGGCTACAATCTATATGATTGTTTTCTATTGCCATTTACACTTTGAATTGATAAGAAATTGGATCAAGCAAAGTTTGTTCTAAAATAAAAAACTATAATCATATAACATTCAGAAAATGAGTAGCATTCCTATCTTCATAAGATGTATCAAGATTGTTCCTTTTTTCATTACGAAAAACTAAAAAAGCGATAGAAAAATCTATGCTGCAACAAGTCCTTAAAATGTCATCTCTTAAAATCGAAGTTTCAAATGACTCATGTACTTGATACTTAGATTGTCCTCTTAACTTTTGTTCTGATTTATATAATTATCGTAGAATACAATTTGTTCGTTGAATGGACATGATATTAAAAACAACTACTAGACTTCTTCTCTTCCAATAAATATGTAACTGACAAGCAATATCCAATCGAGTTTTCGAATATTTCATGAAAATGAACTTACAGCAGGAATGTTTTCAATCATTTAATTAGTGTTTGATACTGAAATTGTCTGTAAAATCTATTTTCTCAAACTTTTCCTCTTTTTTATCTAAAAAGTACATTCAGATAGACTATCAATGTGTTAGTCGTCAACATTGATTTTTTTTATCAGCTGTACTATTTTATATGAAGATTGCTTAGTAGTATAGGTATACGAACATGTCCATTTTTGACTTAAACACTATAGAACTTGAAAAACCGAGAAAACATCATCACAAATAGATTCTTATTCTGTCTTTTATCAACATGCTTTGGTTAGACATTATAAGTATGAACTTTGTAGTCTGTGAACTATACATTAAGATAAATTTTAGTTATAAGCAGAAAATAATATTTGCATTTTTGAAACTTCTGGTACTTAACAAATCTGTTTAAACAGAAAGATTTTTTCTTCAATAAATTCGTTAGTGAATCCAGTGTATTTTCATATCATATAGAACTGAAATAATATCGAATCCATTCAGCAGAACTAATATCGAGTTATGTTCAGATTCCACTACGCAATCTATTTATTCCATCTACCAAATTTCATTCACTCTCAAATGGCAAAAAAAAATCATACATAGCATTGAAAATTAAAAGAGAATTCGATAGACTTTCAAGATAGAATTGAATTACCAAGATAAGATAGACATGGTGTGGTTATTTTTGAATTTGATCGTAGATGAACCCGGACACTCTACTGAAAGATGCATCTAAAAAATTTTCCTCGAACATCAACAATTAGAAATTTTAGCACTCGTATCAAATTAAAATTGTAAAAACTGTCACCTTCATCTTTACTAAAAAATTCAAATAGTTTATCTTGAAATATTGATTGAATACATTATCATGCTAGACCAACATTCAATCATCAACACTCATATCTTGAATTTATTCTATTTTTCTTGTAATGATCTTGTTCAAACTCTTCTTTATCTACTCGTTCCTTTTTCTCTTTCTTTCTTTTTCTCCTTATGGACAAAAAATATGTCTGTGTGATTTTACAATCCAAAATGTAATTTTTCGTCAAAGTATACACTCTATATGGTTTTTCTTTTTCTGTCACAGGGACGATGTTCGTCTATGACAAAGAAGTGTGAGAATACACTCCATATTTGATTATTTTAAAAAAGCAAGACTATGTATATATAAACGATAATGTTGTTGCTTTTTTCATTTGCAACCTGCGTATATAGAAAATAAAGGTCGTAGTCGATGATGAGTTGGATAGAAACAAAAAATGTCGACGTAAAAATGTTCTATCGAATAGTATTGAATATCGTGTGATAACGATATTGGCACTAAGGCAAATAAAAAAAGAAAACATTTGCAATTGTGCACATCGAGAGAAAGGTTTCATTTACGAGGCATTTAGTTCGAATAATGTCATCTGATCACTCAACTTCATGTGCACAAACAGGAAACATTGTCGATTCACAAAAATATTCAGGAATTATGCGGAAGAAAGTTCATGTAGCCGATCTAAGTGAGAAGTACGGACCTGGACAACGTGGGATTGTTGCAGATGAGAAGATCAATAAAGGTGATCTGATTCTTGAAAATGATCCAGCTACTTCAATGTTTTATCCATTTGATGATAAACGTTGCAGTTATACACTGGAAGAATTCTATCGATTGGTTAATGAGCACCAAGATCCTGATATCAAGAACTATCTGATGAGATATTCGCTACAATACAATGACAAAAATGTCTTTGTACCTCGCAATTATCTAACACGTGATACACTGGATTTGACTGCACTCTTGAATCATTCTTGTGATGCAAACTGTGTTTCGACATATACCGATCACGTTATTGCTCTGAAAGATATAGAACCAGGCACTGTACTCACAGTCGACTACGGTATTGGTATTACAGACGATCTACCATTGATACCTATCACCGAATGTCACTGTGGAGCATCGTCATGTACAGGAACTGACGTATTTCAACGTTACAAACAGCCGGATTGGCAACAAAAGTACTATGATTATTGCTTTCCTTATGTCAAGGCAAAAATCGATGAGATTCGCAAACAAGAAAACAAAAAATAAATGACTTAGCAATACACTCTCTTTCCGTACCAAATGACCGCGCCTATGTTGGGATTAACATTTAATCATAGTTTAATAAAGACTATACTTTTGAATAAGAAGAATAGTGCAGCTAGCAGACTTTAAAACCGTAAATATCTACAAGATCAATCTAGAGAAATTGAAGTCAGCAAAAATAGATAAATGTCATACGAAAATGATCATTCCTTACAGGTGTCATTGAACTAGTTTGAAAGTTCTGTCAGGACAATTAATATGCCAAGTTTCTTGCTCTTGTTCGTTTTGTTATCATCTCATATCTATATCTTCTTCTTCTCAATGGTTAACTTCAAAGCGTTGATGAACTCTTTTATAATCATATTCGTCTACAAAACTTTCGATAACTACCACTAGATATAGATATTTAGAGTGATACTTTCTAAGGAGTTTATCATAGTTCTTTGACGTACTGACTAAATTTTGTTCACAAAAGAAAGGGTACATATATATCCAATAGAGAATATTTGACATTCATAATACATTTGCATCAATAAAAAATTATATTCAGAACAATATCCTCAGCGCAGCATCAATTTTATTGCTTTTTCCGTTTGAGCCAGTGATAGTCTTCACGATGAACAGATGTATTAATGTATCATGGTAAGCGATTTTTTTCAGTCATTATCGATATTCATACTGCTCTTGTTTTGATATCATTATATTGGTATAAAGTATACCCAATATGAGATTCCAAGAAGATTTATATCGGTTTTGAAGAAATACTCAATAATTTTTGCCATATGAAAGAAAGCAAAAATCAATGTTATTTTACATATTTTACGTTATTTTTATTATTTCGGTTTACCTAGAGCTTCTTCGTATGGCCATTCTATTGTCATTTCGATATTATTTCGTTATTTGAATAGTAGTAGTTCAGAAGAATAAAATTCAGTTTGTATTACTCGAAAAGAATACTGATTAATACAACGTTTATTGTTTATATTATAAGATTTTTCTATATGAGTTATATAAAAGAGCTCAACTTATGAAGGAACACGACTAGAATTCATCAGGCTGGTCCTAAACCCGCTTCAATTCACGTCTAAGATTTTCCCGTTTACTGCGCCCACCTTCTACAGCTTTGGGCTCGAAGGGCTCTAAGCGCAATGCCCCTCCATGCTTGTGAATTTCGCTCATGTTTGTAAGATCCGTCTATCTTCTCTCATCTTGCTTTGCGTGTTTGGTTACGCATTGGTTCCATAAAAGAAAAGTCTTCGACAACTAGAAGCGTGTCTCTTATCTTGAGAGGAAGATTAGCACCATATTCTTTCTAAGAATAAAATTTTACTGCATCTACTCTTGATTGGTTCTTGTTTTTCTTATTGTATTCTAAATAAACAATATTTATTATGTCATCCAAGGCTTGCAGTCTTTTCCACCCTATGTACGAAGTTATATTTTACTGGTGAGTTCTTCCTGTTCTAATTCAATTGATGCATTAGATTCAACAGAACATCTTTGTACAAATCATTTCACTTGTTCGTTCGATGAAGATATTAAATATATTCTTATGATGCAATACATAATCTCGAAACACTTTCAGAAAGATCAATACAAAATCGAATAAAAATTGTTAATAATAAGTTTTGTTTTTTGGAAGTAAAAGTCAGAAAATTTTGATAATGGTTTTAAACAACGATATGGTTTTATACAAGCATGATGTATATTTTATAAACAAGTTCTATTGGATAATGATTACGAGAAATGAAATTCAACATAAAGCAATTATCTTATCTGTCACGAAACAATTAAATGAGAAAAAAACGTATAACTTCGACTATTTTGATCGCTGACGATCTGAAGAATTATCTATATTGAATTAAACGTTTCATGATTGGAATATTATCGAAAGTAAAATATCACATTGACTCAAACACATTGTCCATGTGTTCAGATTTATCTACAAAATGATAATATTCAATTATGTCATTTGCCATTGGAGCTTCGTTGAATTAAATAATAGCAAGTTTATGGTTAGCCAGTAAGTTTTTGAATGATAATTATTAAAATTTGTTTTGTTATTTATTCATGCTCTAATTATCTCAAGCACAAGAAAATGGAAAAACAAATTCTTACATTGGAAAAATGTTATCTCCCGAGTATGAATAGATTTGATAGATGTGATAATAATTCATCTTATGAAAAATGAAGTCAAGTCGGCATTATCACGTTCGTGTTGATGATAGTCGTATTTATCAGAACTAACATCCATACAAACCTGAATCGATTTCAAGTTTATTAAATACTTATATTGACACAAATCATGATAGGAATAAACATATAATACATAAGTTTTCTTTCTCATTATTCTGCGAAAATCTTTCTTCATTTTAATAAATACAAAAACAAAATCTAAATTTTTTCTAGGTTATGAAATATTTAGAAATTAATCTAGAATATATAGAGCGTCCGACTTTTCTAATGCATGATTAAGATATATGGTATAGTAATACATGCTAAATTATTTTTACCTATCTCAATTAATTTCGAAACATTAACAATTTTTCGCAATAATGATTCATTGTGCTACATGTCCGGAAATTCTAGGGAATGAAAAACAATGGTGAAATCAATGCAAAAGTTGTTTTAGATATAGCATTGCAGAATAATAAAATTCCAAATGATTCTTTTATGTTCATTGGTGCTAATGTTTTCCATTCAACTAATATTACTCGTAAATATTTATCTGGGGTGTTGATGTCGGTATTATTCCTGCATTTAACGACATCCACACCCGTCTCAGATCAGGTTGAAAGATGAATTTTTAGTTTCGGCTTGAAGCTTTTCATAAATAATGTTTTCAATGAAACTAGTTCATTGTGAAAGTTTCTGTGTCTCTCCTGCTACGTCTATTCTATAATAAAGATATTGAGAATTATATTATGTGAGAATGCAAATTTTGTGCTTTTATTTGTATATCACGAAAGAAGCAATGAAAAAGGCTGAAACTTTTGCAACAAATTAATTTCATTGAAAGCATTTTTTTGTGCAAAGCTTCAAATCAAAACTAAAAATTCAACATTCAACATGACCTGAGACGAAGTACAGGCTCTCGTTGAAAATTTCAGTAAAAATTTGATATCATGAGAACGAAGGCCTGAAAAACCTAATTATTCCAGACTCTTTCTACTCTTGTCGATTGTCACTAAATGAACATAGTTCAAAGCCAGAAACGACTTAGTGCTCGGAAATATTTTCTCACAAGTTACCAAGGCTATCATTTGAAAAGCCCAAAGTTAGAACTTATCCATGTGTTATGTTTCGAACCAAACAATCGTTGTAGCAGTTTTAAAATTCATGCATTTGAGCTTGTATCGTCTGTTGGAAACGATGGGAAATCTGCTCTATCTAAAACAATAAGCATTCATTGTACCAATTCTACGAAACCGATCTGCATGGCAGGGTATATTTGCAACGTCGTAAGTCAGTAACGGTTTACGTGCGCATCTGTATGCATTCATCTAAGATGAATCATGACAGGATTGATAAAATAGTAAATCAAAATTCAAATAAAAGTATCGACCAAAGTTGACCAACAAGTTGCATTATTGACTAAGTGTTATGTTTTAGTACATTACGACCAGGTTATTAGCCCCATTAGAGTAGAAGGAACTTCAGAGAGTCCGACAGGCCTGTACTATATACTAAACATATAACGCTAAATCACTGCATTATGTCTAATGGATATAATTAGATTCTCAATTAGAAAGGTAAATTTTACTTCTAGGTCTCTATCAGTGAAATGCATCTATTTTAGCAACTTTGTGGTAGCTCCTACAGGAAAATTACTCGCTTGCAGTCAGAATCTAAGATACAGTTAAATGCAGGACCATTGTTGCTTTACTACTAGCTTCGATATAGACTTAGATCTCACAAATCGACTTCGTCTCTTTGCTGCTCACTTTGGCGGGAGGGGGAGGGGTGTAGCTGTAACTATTCACTTGAACACTCCACACGCATACTTCGATGTACTCATTGGAAAGAACTCTCATTTAGCTGACGATTGTGGGGCTTTGTTCAATAGTTTCATCCTCATTTATGTTTTTCTGAAAACCAATCACAAACATCGACAGGTCTAGAATCATCAATGCTTGATTCATAGTATGCCTGGGTTGTCAGTATAACATTCAGAATGCTCAACTTGATTGCCTATTACACCAGTTTACACATACTTTTCCTTGGAAACCTGGATGCTACTCACCTATATGTGGTGTCAAAGACATTCGAGAAGAAATATTCCTGTCTTCTCGAAATCAAGAATCAAACGGCGTTTCCTTGACAAAGTTATAAACAAAGTTAATTTCTCTTATTTTCATAAGAGTTCCATTTTTATGCTATGATTACTTTCAATCAACATATATGAGCCCACACCTTTATTCTCAAAGATAAACTACGGTAGTTTGTTTGTCCTCGTTCTCTTATTGTGCAGGAGCTAAAAAGAACTCATGTATTTATTATTGAAGCACGTAATATGCTCGTTCTTATCAGAAATATCGTAATGAAACGAAAATATTAACACATATATCAGTTACTTGTTAGTTTTCATCAACTAAGCAGCTACATAAATAATGAGGACATTTATTGTTCTGTGTATCCTCTTCATGAGTGGTCATGCTACAGCAAAACTGGACGTCGAATTGGATGAATCGTGGTCGTTATTCAAACTTCTCTACAATAAACAATACATATCGGTCGAAGAAGAAACGGCTCGGTAAGTTGAGGTGTTTATCTTATCTCATTGTTAGCGTTTACGCCTGTAGAGAGCAACGAAGACTTTGTGTTCGTGATGTGTTTGAAATACATATGTTTCTTCTCTCTATTTATTTTATGAAAAAAAAGTGTATCTGGGCAAAATCATTCGTTAGCGACGTGGTAGAGTAGGAATAGACTATTTTCGATGCTTTCATCGTTCTACACATATTTACTCATTTACTGCAAAAGTTAAGACTCTTATTCTTCGAAGTGTACTCTTTCGTCAATCCCATAAAAAAAAAGCAATTTTACGTTTTAAGGTTTCTAGAAGATTTGATTACTCGAAAGACTTTTTTGACATAATTTTTCTGTTCTTTTTTTAAGAAAAAGGTAGGTGAATCTTCGTTATATAGCGACAAATTTTATTACAACAGGTTTTCTAGTTTTTGCAATTACAGAAACGAGCAACAAACATAAGTTTTTTTTGATAAAATGGAGACCATAGTTTTGTAACTGCACCAAAATTTTTGCAACTCTGCCTTGACTTTCGCAAAAAGCGAATAAGTCCCGTTTTGGCTGATTTCATTCATATATACGAATAAGAAAACGAAAACAAAAATAGAAAGAAATACAAAATTGATCAAGCGCCAAGAAAAGAAGTAATCGAAGTGAAATGATAACGTAGACGGTATCAAACGAATAAAAGAGTGATCAAAAAAAAAAAGAAAGGAGAATAGAGAGGATCGAAGTATATGTTACTTTAATGCTCTGTAACACTCTTGATGTGTATCAATATAGTCGCGCTATCTGGGAGACAAATCTTGCTATGATTCGCAACCACAATCTAAAGGCTGATATGGGCATGTATACGTACACCATGAAGATGAACCAATTTGGCGACCTGGTACGCCTTCAGTGTCTGTCTCTATCTAATCAATTAGTATCATTTTATTTGTTAATGTATATAGACAAACGAAGAAATCAATAAAAAAATGAATGGATTGAAGATGAATTTGAAAAGTGAGAACGACAAAATTCATCGTCACACATTCTTAGCACCATCTAACATTGTCTTGCCGACTGCTGTCGGTAAGTTTTTTTTCTCAAGTTATGCTTAGGCGAAATAAGAATTTATCATGTATTTCTGTACAATAAATAGATTGGCGCAAACATGGCTATGTTACACCCGTGAAAGACCAAGGTCATTGTGGCTCATGCTGGTCTTTTTCAACTACTGGATCACTCGAAGGTCAAACCTTTGCCAAAAGATCAACGCTCATATCCCTCTCCGAACAAAATTTGATCGACTGTTCATTCGAATTTGGAAACATGGGATGTAATGGTGGTGTTATGGAACTCGCATTTCTGTACATCAAGTATAACAATGGTATAGACACTGAAGCAAGCTACCCATATGAAGCTCGAAATGGCAGTTGTCGTTTTGATCCCACAAATATTGGTGCTACTGATACTGTGAGTATTTCAGTGTAAATATATCTCAAGATGTTTATTTTGTCTATATAGGGCTTTGTTCAAATCCGAATGTTTAACGAGACCGATCTACAAGCAGCCATTGCTACTGTTGGACCCATTTCAGTATCCATTGATGATTCGCATAGTTCATTTCATTTCTACTCGTCAGGAGTATACGACGAACCTCAGTGTTCGCCAATTCGTCTCCACCATGCTGTGTTGGCTGTTGGCTATGATACTACGGACACCCAAGAGTATTATATTGTCAAAAATTCATGGGGCACATCCTGGGGCAATGAGGGTTACATTTGGATGAGTCGTAACAAGAAGAATCAATGTGGTATTGCTACCATGGGAAGTTATCCACTTGTCTAGCCCCGTATTTTATTTTTCGAAGTAGCAGCTAAAATAAAGTCATGTGCGACACTTTTCCATCTACTATGTATAAAAAAGATAACAGAGCTTGCGCTACATATAACCATCTACGTACAACCGCATCATACCTTCATTTTATTCGAGATCCATACAGAAACTTCTCTTTAACTACAAGTCCATGTAAGCCATGATTGACCGTGGTCAATTGAGGATATGTTGCTAAGGCAACAGTTTCATGAATTTTGAAATAAGGCGTTGTGCAAAATATTAAACAGTCGATGTTGCATGATTTCTTTGTTGAAAACCCTACGAATCGTAATTGTCTGAAGAGAAATCTTTCTAAGAACTCTCGTATCTATTGTACAATAGGGCGGACTCACTGTACTCAATTGATATGAAGGACATCTATGAAACTTCTCCGATATGTAGTCCTAACTAAAGTATGAAAATGCCAAAAACTTTAACTTTTACAATCCTTCGTAGACGAGTGCCTAACATTTTGCTTGAAAATTCAGCCGATGGAATTTTATTAATTTTTCCAGAAAGGGTTTCATATATCTAGAAAAATCAAGGATGTGAGAAATGCTAGGAAAAATGAGGGATATGCAATAGTACACTTTAATTAGAAAAAAGTTGGAAAATATCGTTTGAGCAGCCTGTGTGGTTATAGGTCGTGGCTTATGCGCAATAGCACTTAAAGAAAAAAGATATCGATAAGATTTAGTTCTTAGACTTGATATTAGACTTTATTAAAATTTGCTTTAGTTCTGTTCTTTTCAATTGAAATCTATTGTATTTAGAATTTTGGATTAATGAAAGGAAGAAGAGTATTGCATACTTTTGACAGTTGATAATTAAAAATAGAGAAATCATCACAAAGCATTGATTCGGTGTTGTTTTCAGTAATATTTCAATATAAGTACTGACTCGAGGGTTTGTTTAAAAAGGTTAACTAAATCAATATATTAATTAAGAAATCAATTGATAATGCAATGATTATTTCCATTACATTTTATTCTTGATCTGAAATAGTTTTTGTGACGATGATTCATTGAATAAAATACGAAAATCGTTTTTACAATGTTATTAAGAACAATATACTTTGCTAGATTATTATAAGTTTTTCATCAGCAGAAAAAAAAAGAATTCTTCAACAGCTCGTATCTGTTTAAGAAAAAAATGCGAAAATAAGTGACATTCGTCTTATTCCTCATCTTCACAGTATTAGCAAGTCTTAAGAACAATTTCAACTTTGTTGTTTCCAAATTTCGCTATATTCATACCAATTAGATTGTAGTTATTGAAATCATCTATAGCGACAAAAACTGGATAGCTTTCAAAATCAAACATATAGATATCCCGTATTGAGAAAGTTTCGTTGTTGTGATCGTGAAATATGGCTACATTGCTCGTTCCAGCATTGGTGAAAGTTAAATCCAAATGATGATCATTGTTGCACTCAACTATAGCCAATGATGATGTATATGAACGCAGGTCTGTCGAACGATTGAACTGCTTGAGAAAGGAATCGGCATCTTGATCAAGGAATCGATTGTCAGAATTGAAATCATTGATAGCGACTAAACATTGTCTTGAGTCTATTCCAGTTGAGAGCTATGTGCTATTTATTGGCAGCCCATAACCTTGCGCTAACATGATTTCAATAGTATCAATCCCAGTATTGGCAAGAAAAATATCCAAGTATCTATCATTATTCAAGCCACCTAGTGCCACAGAACATGGATATGAGTTCGCACTAGTGGGCAGCATCAGTGGATCAGAAAAAAAAACTTGTTAGGGTATGATTGAGTGTGGGTCTAGATAAACAGCAGCACTACACTCCGACACCTCACACTCACACTCACGCCCACACCAGAACACCTTTAATATACAACTACACACCATTAGGATCTTTGAAGCATGTTTATTTGAATTTCTTGAATAATTATTAAAAATGCACAGAGTCTTAGTATTTTAGATTAAAAACGAATGATACCAGTATATTTTGCCAAGCTTTGAAGTGGTAAAAAGTTGGCTAGGCGTCTACCAAGTATTGTTTCTGTAAATAGAATTTGTTTGTAAAGCGGTGATGGAACCACAAAGATGAAAAAAAGAATGATTTGAGGCATGAATGAAATATAGTACGTTCCAAGAGTGAGATAGACGAACCAAGCACTTTGTTCATACATACACGCGTCCAGAAATAACACAACTAGTTGCGGCAATGCTGATATAAAGCAGATGAATGGTCCAACCAGTAGATCAGCTCGTTGACGAACTTGTTCAACAATACTATTACGAGGTGATATATGATGACTGATCGCTTTCGAACGCCCCAGGTCGAATTCACCCTGTCGAATCCGATAGAAATTCGCCGGAATTTGTCGGAATCCTAACCACAGGATTCCGACAAGTGGTTCTGGATGTCGGAAAGTGTCGGAGTTTCAGGGATTTCGCAGGATCCTGATTATTCCGACATCCGGAACCTCCTGTCGGAATCCTGTGGCTAGGACGCCGACAACTTCCGACGAGTTCCCGTCGGATCCGTTAAAATCCGGTAATTTTTCCAATATAATCCGATATAATCCGACGTAATCCGACAGTCGGATCGAATCACCTGGGCGACCAATATTGATGATGACTGTCATTCCAGCGACGAAATTAATCAAAAAAGGAATAATTTGGTATGCAAGAGAACTATACTGAACAATGATCTTTTGATTTAGTGGAATCTCTCTGACACAGCTCGCATATGCATAATCAGGATGAGAGACCAATTTATATTCGATGACGTATGCATAAAGAGAACCAAATAAGCCCAGAAATGTTATAGTACTTAAAATTATGGCAAATCGAGGAGTACGAAATAATCGAAATCGAGTAGGCCAAGTGACAACCAATGCTCGCTCGACAGTGACAAAAGCCATAAGCCACATGTTAGTATTGCTGAATGCTGTCATCAAATACGGTAATGATTTGCATAAAATTTTGTTTGCAACAGCATTGATTGTCATTTGTCGAGCCAGAACTAAGTAAGTAATTCGAGCAAGTAAGAGAACGAGTACAAATTGACTGATGATTCCAGTAGCGAGAAGATAAAGACCAGTGCCAGCTTCTCGTGCTTTTTTTTGTTTAAACGTGACAATACCCAAACCATTGAAGATCAATCCAACGAAAAAGAAAATTATGGTTCCAATTAGATGAACATAATCACCTCGTGTTCGTTCGATGAGTATTTCGAAGTCAATAGTAAAACGACTAAAGGTAAATTGGCAAAGATCACCTGATACACATTTCGGGCAAACACAAGCGAAATTACTTCTATTTTGAAGATTACCTTGAATGCAATGACCTTGATTGATGCAATAGGAACAATCCGTATTGCGTTGCTCATATGATATACAGTTACTTCGATTCGGTTTTTCACTGCAATAGCAAACATAATTTTTTGTATAGAAGCATGGTTGATAGGCAGACTGATGACAGAAAGTATGAAAAAGTTTGACGGATGGTTGTTCGAAGACTTCCTTGCACTGTAAAGGTTGTGAATCAAGATCGATACTTACATTTCGCAATGTATTACTGCAATTAATATAAAGAATACTAAAATGAACAGTAACAAAGGCTGTTTGAGGTTCAAATGTATACAAGAGACCAATTTCTGGTATACTCCGCTTGTTTCTCGCATCTCGCATGTTGATGGATTCTAGAACAGGAAAATCGGTTGATTTCGACACCAATATTTGTTGTCGTAGTCGTGGATAGTCGGAGGAGAATTTGAGCAACTGCAGAAGAAACGCTTGCTCATTGGTCTTTCGTCGATTTAGTACCAAAATAGATTCTTGTGGTTTACAGATTTTGGATTTATTGCACAAACATGTATATCCATGTGGAGGTAACACAGAGAAAGGTGAGCAGATTTCGTCTGACGAACAATTGCTAGATTTCTTGTCACAAATGGTATTACGCACGAAACAATGAGGTGGAAGATATCCATGTGGACAGACGCATACGTTCTCATGACGGGTAAGAGCGTGTAAAGCACATTTATTTTGTTCAAGCGATTCATTACACAGGTTGCCTTTCCAACCATGTTGACAAAAACATAAATACTGATTTGGATTCTGATTAACGATAACATAGCATGTTGCATTATTCTGACAAGGATTATTAAGGCATTGCCATGGTAGCGAGCGATCAGGAAATCGTAGTAGTTTGGCTAATCGAAATACGGGAAGAAACCTAATTGTATCGATTGTATATTCCCAGATCGATAGTAGTTTGAGATTATGATAGGCTTCAAATCGAACGGAATAGTTTCCAGTTAAGTTTGGACGTGAATACAGTAAGTAGACGTTGTGTTTCGGTGGAAAATCTTGATCAACATCAACAAATCGTTGATGATCAATTATCAAAGTTTCATTATATAGTAAAAAGACAAGAACATGAAGTACTGGTGGTATATCTGAACGATGTCTTCGATCGAAACGAATGCGTACAGTAATACGCCGACGATTAAACTGACATTGGTTTCCATAGAAACTGGGTGGACAAAAGCATGAAGGTTGCTTGTTATTGTCGGTCATCAAAAAGAAACCACGATTGCAAAATCCATGAAGTCGAGGATCTAACATGCTTTTCGAAATGGTAACTTCAGAAATTGTAGTCATCGGCGTAAAAGTCAGTGGAAAACTATCACAAAACGAACCGTAGTTTGAAAGACGGCGAATCTTGCTTGATCGATACGTAGTTTCTAGTGAATTTTGTGAATTCGTACACCAAAACAAATGTTCATTATTAGAACAAGTCAGATTCAAATTACAACGAGTATTGTGGCACCTACTATCATTGGAGCAAGCAAACTGTCCCATAAGACATTGATGTCGATTCCAGAAACAAATAAGTTCATCTGTTTGATCGAAGCACTCATAAATACCATTGCAAATCACTGTATGATTTAAACATTTTGTCGCATTATCACATAGAAAACGATCACCTAACATTCGATGATCTGAACATGAAAAAACGTTGCGTTCATCTCTTCCACCAATACAATCAATGTGTCCATCGCCTGTTTTCGTATAATCTATACACGGACGATATAATGTTTGATTCGAAAGAAATTTGGACGTAATACAAAAATGTTCTCTTGAATTATTGCATAGATCTTCGAGTGACCAATGAAGTTTTGTTATTGAACAATTTAATTCATCTTCACCATTATCACAATCGAATTCGCCATCACAGAATTGTGTTTCATTAATACATTGTCCAGTACCTTGACATTGATATATTCCAAGAGCACAAATCCATTGTGAACAATTTTTCTCATCTCGACCATCTCTTGTATCCCAGATCGAATCACAGTGGCGATGAAAAAGAAGTCGTACATCTTTGATACGATTATTACTATCAAGACCAGTACCACGCAATACCCAACAAGCATATTCATCTTCGAATTCGCATCGAAAGAAGGGCCAATGTAGTTCATCCGAAAGTTCATCACTTCCATCTGAACATTCTTCGATTTCGTTGCCCAACTGCTGGTAACTAACATATTGTTTAATCAATGGATTTAAACATCGATAGCGATATGGTTGAATCATTTCATAGTTTTGATATCGTTCATCTTCACCAGACAAACAATCGATATAACCGTCATTGATACGTCTCGATGACAACAAATAGATCGATCCATTACACAAGAGTCCTTCTACGTTTGATGTGTGAGTGTTTCTGATCAACAGTTGAGGAATCTGCATTGACAAAAGGTGACTACAAGATCCAAGATAGACTATAAGCTATATATTATCTAAGATTTCTGATCACATGAGGCAAAAAATTGACTAAAAATATGAACAATTCACGTTTTTCATACTGATTATGGTCTCAATATGGATCTGAAGAAGAATACATCTTAGTTGAACATTCGTAAACATTTTTTTCTGCTTAAATTGAACCTTGAATAGATCTTCAGAGTGAAACGTGTCTAGCTTAACTAAATGACACACTATTGATACACGAAGGACACAGCCTTTTTGCAGGAGTGAAGAGAAATGCCTGGAATTTTGGGAAAGGTTGATGCTTATCGATGAGGCACACAACAGATGAGAGTTTGTCACTGCTCTCATTAATCAAAGACAGTCGAATCTTAATCTATTGATGGTCAATCATATTGTTCTCGATTATCTTTTCGTTCAATGAATAGCTGACATTTTGTTGCCTTTTTCGTGATAAACATTTATTTTACTCGACACTTTAGATATTCAATGTTATTGGCAAACTAAATTTAAGCGAATCGACAACAAGAGTAGATTGATCGAATATGATCGGTGACAATCGCTCTAAAAATCAATCAGAAGGATTGAAAGGAAATGGAACTTTGCAGTCAAGGTTTTTGAGAAGTCTAAAGGACGTCGAGGGGCAATAAAGTTTATAGGATGGGGACTAGGAGAGAAGGAAAACTCGTATTTCGCGCATTTCTTGTTCATCACAAGGTATCTCGGATATTTTATCATATTCTGTGAAAAATGCTGTAGGAGTCACAAAATCAAAAATACTGACTGTTGAGAAACGTTTCGTTGTTGATCTGTTGCCAATTGACAGAACAAGTGAGGTATTGGGAAGAATGAAAGCGTGCCAAATGATAGAAACTCTTCATAATTCCAACAGATATTTTTGTTCAACGTTGTAGGAGTACCGTTGCACATGAATGTTCCATTAAGACAGAAAACATCAGCTGTTAATTTCGGCAGAGGATCTCCAAAGTTGTTGTTCTCATAAAATGAAATAATACGAGACTTATTATAGAACATATTGAGAACGGGTGATAGCACGGATTGTTCTGGATATTGAATAAGTTCAGAACAGTAATCCTTGATATGCTTCACTGCTATTTTGCGTGAAGATCCTGCGAGTAAATGGCGCAGACCAACTGTGCACGAAGAAGTGTTTGTCAATCGAGGAATGCTTCCTACAGATATTTAGACGCAATTATTAGTCAGTACAGAATGCATTACTCAACTCTGGTAATATTTTCTTGGTTTTGAAAATATCTGAAAGTTGATATCAGTTTTAATGTACTCGAGTAAACTTTCGCACAGGGTAAAGTTTAAAAATTTGACTCCACTCATACGTTCTTAGATATTTAGCTGAACATTATTACATCACCTCTTTACAAGTACCAGTTAATTCTTGATCTAAAAACTGGAACATAATTTACTTTCTTGATTAGACATTAATTGATTGCCTCAAAATCGATGGTATTTGAATTTACCTCAAGCCGATTTTATAAAAAGCTCAAAATTGTCCACATCTATTCGAAGATCAGAATTCATTCTATCAGATAATCGATACTATCGATATCCTTTATTGAAAAACGTATATTATTAGTTTTCTTGTAGTATTTTTCATCTGTGTAGCTACTGATTATAGTTCTTACTCACAAGAAGTTCAGGCAAGAAATTTTCCAATAAATATTTATTAATAATATCGAATTTTTATTAAAATGTCCTCCATTGTTTTACGATTAACTTTTTATTGTTTCAAGCTATAAAAATTGGGTTTTCATCATTCGAAATAGAAATCTCAAGGACATCGATCCATATGAAATTCAAGTGGTTCTCAAAGACCTTCTTGGTGTTTTTTTTAACTAATTTTTTTTTTCTTATCTATTTTCATGAATTTTCATGATGACAACATCAATTTACGTCAAATTGCAGCCTAAACCATACTCTATTCATGGTAAAAACAGAATGTTTTGATCACAAAAATAGTACGGTTGGTCTACAATATGGTGTAATTTGATGTTCAGTCATTATGAAAGTTCATGAAAATAGACAACAATAAAGAAATTAGTTTGAAGAAAAAAGACATCAAAAAGGTCTTTGAACAAAATGAATTTCATATAGATCGACATTCCCGAGTTCGCTATTTCGAATGATGACAACTCAAGCCCCATAACTTGAAAGAATAAAATTTAATGGAGAAACAATGGAAGACATGTTAATAAAAAGTCGGCATTAGTTTCGATTTTATGAAATAAAGTCGAACAGTCTAGTGCAAGCTTTGTTTCTCTATGGCGTGAGTAAAACTCATCTGTTTTTCTTTGACTAAGAAAAGTCGAGAAACTCTTTGTTACAATAAATTTCATTTCTGTTCAAAGATTAAAAAAATAACCAATATTGTTTATTCTGCTTCTAACAATAAGATATTTCACTTACCACGACCATTGTATCGGCAAACACCACTAGGCATTGTTGCGAATTTTTCGATCGCTTCACAATGATAAGCAGCATCACGAGCATTCTTACAACTATTTTGATGATGAATCAAATTAGACCAAGGTATACATTGACCATCTCCACAACTGAATTCATCCTTGCGACATAACCTTTCATCACATTCCAAAGTCGACTTTGTCGGACATGTTGCAACAAGTTCTCGTATCCTACGTATTTCTTGTTCATCACTTCTATCCATACAATCAATTGTACCATCGAAGAGAAATTCAAGTGGTATGCACATTGAATTTCGACATTGAAATTCGTCTGATGCACACTTTTGAAATTCAAGCAAGTAACATTCAGCTTCATCTATACCATTATCACAATGAGGTATTCCATCACATACTTGTCGCCATTCCAGACAGAGTAAACCTGCATTACATTCGATACCATCAATTAAACATGCTGGAAGCTCACTTTCACGTTCATGCGGATGAAGAAGTTGATTTTTTAATACTTCCCCGATTGTAGGTAGATCAGAAATTAGCTTGTATTGGCATGAGGGTCCAATTCGATCATATGTGCAATTACAGATGAAGCTGTTCATTGAACCTGTATTCAAATAATCTGCGTAATGTTCAACAACATCAAATGGAATTTGCCAGTTCAGTAAATCGTCAGTATTAATGTTGTACTGTTCTAGAGTGGAGAAATTCCATGCAATTTCAGGCGTACATGATGCTAGATCACTACGAGATGAATTTTGATCTCGACAAAATAGTCGGTAATCATGCATAAAGCAATGATCTTTCTCTGCATGCGAATATAAAATCCATTCAAAGTTTTGAATAGCTGAAATATTAATGCACTGAAAAAGCCATAGACAAATCCACCAAATTGTCGCAGTCATTCTCTAGTATGAATGTTCAAATGGTGTATTGAATTTAATTTGCTGTTCAGAATATTTATATGTGTCAAGCACCAATGTCTGTCAGAGACTCACTTGACAATAACGAAGAAAGTAATAAATTGTTTCACATATTCATGAGCTCTAATAGGCAAGTGTCAAACCAAAAATTATGAACACATGGCAAACATAATTATTTTCCCAAACATTATTTATGATTGTCATCACGTCTAAAGTCATGAACAATTAGTAAATATAAATTTTTTCCGTACTATCGTTCATGATTTTCCTGATCAAAATTTGATGCTTAATCAAGCCATCTGGAAGGCAAAATAAAACAATGATTATTGTGGATCTTCACAGGAGAGGACAACTACAAAGATTTGGTGAATTTATTTAAAAATTTGATTATAGATCTCTATGAAATTTAGTAGCGTAGCCAAAAAAAAATTACAGAGAGGGTCATGTCCTTTTACGAGTTTCACGTTGTAGATGAAACATTTAGCATGCAATTAGGAGTGTTCAAAGGCAGTCCAGATTAGGGTTAAACAAAGTTTTTTTGTTCCTAGGCAAGTATTGATTTTTCTCGTAAGTTTTAGTGCACGAAAATCTTGCTCGCTCTAACCAATTTTCATGCAAAACTATTGGTGTTCGAAAAAATCCTTAAAATGGTACAAAAACCGAAAACAGTTTCTTGCTCAACGAAAGCTTATAACAGGTTGTAGACACAATGTCTATCTACACTCATGAGTGTAAGTGCGAATGTGAGTTGTGGGTCAGATGTGAGTATTGACGTTCTATTTAGCCACATCCACACCCCTTTTTCATTAAATATTGATAGAAAAACTTCGAGAATAAAATGAAACTGTTGAGTGAGCTTTTGAGAACTAGTTTTATTATGCGAGTTTATTAGATATAGAATACATTTATCAAAATTTAATTTGTATCTACCATCGTGAATCATTGAAGTATTGACAAAACCTAGCATAATAGAACAAACTTTAATAGCATATTCACGAACATCTAACAAAAAGGAAAAAAAATTAAGTTAAATAAATATTAAATAATTCTATCAAACCTTCATAAATCGAACCGAGAACTCCATTCATTCCCCAATTACTAGCATCATATTAAGCTAATTCACCATTGGTCATCTGAAAGAAAAATCACATGAAAGCTATACATTAAATACCAATCGATCTTCTTGTTTATTGAAGAAGTCTAATCAATGACTGAATTTTTTCTATACTTTTTTTTCGTATCGTTGCTGATAGAGATGACATAGTAATCATTGCACCATGTTTAGATTCTTTCATCATTGGTAAACATCGTCTTGTTATTCGCATTAAACTTAATAAATTCACTGTCATTACTTCTTTTCACATATTCACCACAGCTTTTCCTGATAGTATTTTTTCTTCTATTGCAGAAACATATTCATTCAAATCACCAGCATTATTTATAAGTATATCTAATTTATTTTGAAATATTTGACCAATTTTTTTACATGCATCGTCAACTGATTATTTTGATGACATATCACAAATAATAACATGAGCTTTGACATCATATTTTGAACATTCTGTAGCTACACTTTCAAGAACATCATTAGAACGTGCTAACAAAGCAATATTACAACTAAAAGATTTCAAATAAGAAAAAAAAGAGATTCAAAATTTGCACAATGCATTCTTCTTTAGCTAATGTTAGTGCTATCACTACTTTACCAGTACCCCTACAAGCACCAGTAATGACAGCATTTTTATCATGTAAATCCATTACCACCTCAATATTCTTCAGTCATACTGGTCAATGTTTGATGACAAAATTAAATAAGTAAACAATTTTTGTTGAATAATATGGTTCATATCGATGAGATTTTTCATTGGTTTCGAAGAGTACTATTTAATCAACTGCTTAGTCTTTATGGTCAATATGGTACGTGCAAAGCATCTATATTGCGATTTATCATGAATCTTTCTTTCGTTCTTTTATTGGGTATGCTGTCAGACTCTGAATAACTCACATTCTGCTCGACATTCTGCATCAATTATGGAGTTCAATCGTAGTTCCGAAACACTGAGTTCAATTCGATAATTTAGGTATCAAGCAATTCTAAATATAGTCTACAACCAAATAAGATACTTCCCATTAGGCTTGCAAAAAAGATAAAAATCTGTCGATGCACTAATGAATGCAAAAATCGTACCACGATGATCTTGAGAAAGAAACATTAGAAAGTATTCGTTCCGTTGAAATGCAATGTGAAATTATCGAGAATAAATTTACATCATTCGTTTGCCAATCTTCAGTAATAACTTATGTTTGTTGAAGCAGAAATCAACAAGAAAGCAAACTTTTGTAGGACTTTTCAAGATTTGAGGTAATTAAAAAGAATAGAGTTTCAGATTCAGCTGTAAGAACAGCTGATTCTAGACCATGAGTAACATAGAGAATTGAATGTTCAATGGAGTAAATATTTCTAAAAAGAGATTGTAGATAGGTATTTCAAGAGGTCTTATCGATGTCTTTTCTCGAAAAGATCCTTTGTTTGTTGATCTATCAGTTAAAAGAAAACGTTTCGAAGTACAAGAAAAAGAAAAACATATCTTATGATAGCAACGATCGATATGAAGTATTCGAAACCGAATAATTGAAAGTGGAGAATATTTCGTATAGAATGATTATCATCAAAAGGCTTCAAACTGTGCTATGGTTCGTATCGATTTTCAATTTATCACTTATAAATGAATCCGACTAAATTAATAATAATCAGACTTTGCAGTTAAATTTTTGATAAGCAGATGATTGGAATACATGAACAGCAAATAAAATATCGATTTATGTGTGTAGATTATTCAGTTTCAACGCAAGATCTAGGGGTGGGTGTGGATAAATAGAAGCCAAGATCTACATCCACACCCTCTTTTAATTTGAAGACTTTTTTGTTCAGAGAAGAAAACTCGATATGGTTTCGAATGAAGCGAAAGTATAACTTGATAACTGAGAAAGATCGACTTTTTGTCATTTGTATTTTAAAACTCAATAAAGATGAAAGCTTTTAGTAGATTCTCAATTTATCGTGTTAGGTTCATTGACTAAATTTTGACATCATTCTAACATGTTTAGTTTTTGAAATAATAAGAAAAGTTGAAAGTGTACGACATCAAGTCATCTAATGTTTGATGTTTCGAAAAATCTATCTTAAGCTAACTAATTATCATGAAAAGTGGTTAAAAATTACCAGAAGTCACTTTAAATCATAGACAGTCTCCAGTAATAAGCTTAACAGTAACGCCCTGATTTCTATGACTTTTCTTGAGTTTCAATAACTGTCAATATTTCTTATGGTTTCTCTTGATCTGCGATGAACAAAAATATTGGTTTCCAACGATAGAAATGACACGAAATCAAAGAAAAATCGTAGTGAAGGTGCTGAGGTTAGGATACTTACCAAGAAATTCTGCTACCATTATGTCACAGGTACCTTTGGGTACTGGTTGGATTTTTAGTACTTGACTGAAAAGATGTTTCTAAATGTTTCATCTACTAGCTTGTTCAAAAATTATTGATTAATGCCTGTGACATACTGATAATAGGATATTCTACTGTTAACTGATTTAGTATACGGATACCTTGAACTCAGTAGATTCATTAGGAAAGAAATCAGTTTGTTTCTCTTTGATATTTTCAATAGACATTGAAATTACTGAAGAAATTTTCTTCAATACATTCACTATATGGTATTATCCATATTGAATGTCAACATAATCAATGCGAGTATAGATTTATATAGAAAACAAAACTACAAACAAAAAAGGTCTAGTAATTGTATTATTAAATGTTCACTTGTGCTTTTTTTAATTGAAAAAATGGCATTAAAAACATATTGATGTTTTCTGAAAATCCAATAAAAAAGACAAATTAAATACAATTATTAAATAGCGTAAGTTTTTCTTACTCATTATATTAAGTTCTATTTTACGATAGACAAATGGATAATAGAAAACTAACCCAAAAAGAATCAAAACTGCTGCACAAAGAAATCCAATATTTGGCGATGTAATTACAGGTGCAATAACCAAATAAATTGAGATAAGAACAATAATGATAATCAATGGAATAGGAACCTAAATATTTTAGAAATATTCATTTCGTCTTTTCTTGTTATCCGCAATCGTTGATACTGACACTGATCACTCGTTCTGCATTCCTATTAGTAAATTTACAGCAAAGTGTAGCAACAAATGTTAATCCATAAAAAATCCATGCAACAAAACTAAAAAAGTCGATCAAATCGTCAATATTACTTGGAAAACAAAACATAATTGCAATGACACCCTTCAAAAAAAAAGAAAATCATAATATTATCATTAGTAGTTGAAATGTGAGATAACAACAACACACAACCTGAAGGACAACACTAGGCATTGGGGTCAATCTTCGTAAATGAATACATGCAAATACTTCTGGCAAATATCCATACTGAGCACCAACCATACAATATCGAGCACCTCCAAAGATACTTCCATTAGCACTACCTAATGCACTAATAGAAATGATAATAGGCAGAACACGTACAACTGGACCTAATACAGCTTCGCCCCACGTCTATCCAATAGGAAATTAATTAATTGCAAGATAAGATTTTTTTTAAAAATGTTCTTCGACATACTACAGCAACAGATTGAGAAGTAAGTAATTCTGCTTTGTTCATTACAGTAAAATAAGAAATATTAGTAAGAACATATAGGATCATAACAGAAGGTAAAGCTAATACAATAGATAACCATAGATTTCTATAAAATACACAAATATTAATAGCATTCAACTTTATAAATAAATAAAACGCGAATCATTTTGACAACATGAATATGTTCCATTGTCTGAAGAAGATCATATCTATGCAAAACCATACCTTTTAGGATTTTTGAGTTCTTCTGTCACTGAATTAAGACAATTCCATCCGTCATATGCCCAAAGACCAGAGTAGAATGCAAGTGCAACACCCAACGGATTTTTAGTCGTACCTATATTATACGATAACATAATATGTTATTCGCTTTATTATCATCATCAACTGCATCCTACCATCAAAACTATTTTGGAAGTTTTGTGTATGTCCTATAAAGAAACTCTTTAATGATTTACTTTAATTTCTCAAATAGGACAAAGAATAAACCTTTTCCCATTCTTATAAGACCAGCTATTACGACTACTAAAATAGACGATACTTTGCTGATAACAAATATGATATTAAGACGATTAGCTGCAGACACACTGATACAATTAATATTGATCAACATCACTATAAAACAAAAGATAATTAATTTAAAAATCACTAAGTAAACAAAAAAAATGTATATACAAAGAGCAAAAATAGCTGTCATTTTGATTAATCCTTCTGGAAGTTCACATTCTAAATTTACATATAAATTTACAAGATGAAAAATTGTCTATAGAAGACAATTTACCTTGTATAATGCCAGACCAAAAGTATTGAGCAGAGCTAAGACTAAGAACTGCAATACTTGATGGTCTCATAATAAATGTATTTGTCCAACAGAAAAGATACGCTAATATATCGCCTGTTCTTTCATGAACCGATCCAATACCTATTAATGAATATATTTATATTAAATCATTTGTAAAAAGATAATATAATATATGTCAATGCTAACAAATAATTGTTTTTAATGAACTTTGAAATGAAAAAAGAAAAGAAAAGGATGTATATGAGATTTCGACAATGCTACAACAATCTTAATCTTTTGTTTTTTCTATATAAATAGTGGTCTAAAAGTTTTGATTCTTGTCTGTAAATAGATATTGTCTATATGAATACATATATAGATAAGTGACTGAAATATAGAGCTGTGTAGAAAAAGATTAAAACTATAATCTGAAAAGAAAATAGTACGAATTGAATCGACATTATGAAAACTTATAGTTTGCTTTAGTGTTCTTGACTAAACATTTTACAACTTACATTTTTCTGAAAAATCAAAACATATATTGTAATGTTTGAATCAAAATATTACTTTTTTAAATGTTTTTATATGATTCGATAGAGTTCGACAAACTCTATGAGAACATGAATAACAAAAAGAGTCTGATCTAGTTTTCAATTCAAAATTTGAAAGAAATTAGAAAGACAAATAAAAATTTCATTTATTAAACATTAGAAAGAATAAGCTAGTCTTGAAATATCAACTAACAGTCGATTAGCTAATGTTACTGGAAATGAAACATACTATTTATTGATGAACGAGACCAGTCGCAAGTAGAAAAATGTTTGATTTTGGTTTTGTGCATATTCTTACATAGACCAACAAGAAATGCAATACGATTTTCTAGAGTCAGGGTACTGATTAGATTGATGGTGATCATAAGATTAGGTCATTGGAGTAGAATGAATAGTTACTGCCATCATAGCCGAGAAAATGTTAATATGAGTGAAATAAAATTTTTCGTTTTTTATCTCTGATATCTGCTTTTCTATTATTTATCATAGGTTATTTTTGTCCAAAATTAGCAACTAAGAGTTGACTAAAAGTTAGTAACAATTTGAGATTTATCATGATCTTCAAATACTTGCTGTCTTCTACACATTTATATGTTCAACAACTCTGTTGTTTAAAAAAAAATGATTCATTTTGCTATCAAAATTGTAACAACAATTATTAATATTATTGTTATTGAATAATGTTTGCATAGACTTTTGGAACACATGAGTTGTGAGGTCATGAGATTTGGTGCAAGTTTTACACAACCATAAAAGATATCACGCCTAATGAATAAATGTTAGTACTAGTCTCGGTTCTTCTTGCCCACATCAAATATTGTTTTATATAACATATGTAAGATTTTTATTAGTGTGTGCTTGGCTTCCTGTAATTTTTATATCAAAATATCCAGAAATTAATGTTCCATTCTATTTCAAACATACATACATTAGAAAAATATTGTTGTTTTTGTAGAAAAACGCAAGATGCATAATACTTAGTCATGATTAATAAAATAATCATAATTTCTCATGATTTCGATGCAAATCGAACTTCTTTCTTTACACAATTCTATATTTCAGTCAACTATCTAAATATGTATTCATCATATAGATAAGATCAATTTATGAAGAAAAGTTGAAACTTTAAAATCACACTTTGGTATACCTTCTTTTAGATACGCAATTTCTGCCCCATTTCTAGGTATTACTGTACCAATCTCTGCATAGCAAAGTGCTCCTGAAACAAGAAAAGAATACAAATTGTCTCTTACACATAGAAGATATTGTAAAACATACCAAGTAAAGAAACTAAACCACATGCAACCCAAATGATCAAACAGAGACCAACTGATTGTGTTTCTCGCAAAACACCTTTAGGTGAGATAAATATACCAGAACCTAGTAATAAGAAACGATTCATAATATTAAAAAAAACAACAATATAACATGTAATCATTTACCAATGATGATACCAATAATAAAACAGATTCCTGAAAATAAACCAAGATGTCTTTTCAGTGTTACTTCATCTGTTGGTAATACAATTTTCAATGGATCTGGTTGAACAATTGATACAATAGATGTACGGCGATGTCTAGTAACAGGAGATTGAACAGGACGATAATGATGAATTGAATCAATATCAGCTAAAGATGAAAATAACAATAAAATCCATGAAAAATTCTTCCTCATTGTACTTGTAAAAGGTGATTTGACAAGAATACTAACTGGCATACTTTTTTTAATCAATTAATAGGTATATTTCTTTTTCATAGAAATGTTAATAGTCATCATAAATATTTATGCTTCAAGATATATGTGTTAGTATATCAAAATAAACGATAGCAACAAAATTGTCATCAGATATATTTATGTTGTGCTTTTTAATCTTTGAAGACTTACCAATACTTGGCTCGCGTGAAGTATCTTTATCCATGTTAATTTTATAATCTGCTTGTGTTTGTATAGATAGTTCACATTATAAAATAATCTTTATTTAACATTTGTCATCATAGATAAAGGTTGCAAGACCTTTTCTTTTATGCTTTGATTATTTATTAGATAGACAAGAAGAGAGCAAAACAAAAAGGAATTGAACTATATCAAAGACGAATTTTCACCTATGAATACATAAAATATAATGTGCTTGATTCATTTTATATGAAAAATATGGAACATTAGTGATTATTATTATTCCTGTTCAAGTAGATCAAAAGTTACTTGAACTATTTCTTCTATCTTTGAGTCAATTAAACGTATCGTAATGATTATGTTGATTTTGCGAATTAAAATATTGATTGTCTTTTAGTAAATGACAAGATTTGTATTTTATTCTACCATAAAATGTAATGGTTAAAGAACAAATGTTCATTTCTCGAAAAGATGTGTGCAGTTTATTGAAATCAAATTTGTTTTTCTGTCCGTACAATTAGAAAACTCATGTTTTAATAAATCAGCTAAAAAGTAGACTTCCGAAATTCATCATACAAAAAGCAAACAGAATGATGCCTAACTTTTGCGCTGTCGATCTTTTTTTAACTATTTTCAATCTTGAAAAAAAACTGAATTTGAAAAAAATTTACATGTTTCCTCGTTTCTCAGTAGACAGATCGATGAGTGTCTATTCGATCTTGATACATTCATTGTGACACTAACTGGCGAATTTTCCTGCATATGTCTAGCAAAAAAAACACCTCTCAAACGAACCATTATATAGGTGTGTTGTTCCTAAACAATCAAGAACATTCTTTGGATACTCATGCCGTGGTACTGTAACATTGTGTTTGAACCGCAGAAACAAGAAAGACATAAACCATAATAATTGATCAGGGTTCAGCTCACATGAAATATCAACCATTAAACCAAAGATATTATCTTCGTATAATTTAATTAATATCAATCAATCTCAACTCAATTACAATAGTTTTCGATACATGTGTTAAAGATAAAAGGCTAAAACATCACTATTTGAATTTCTGAGCGGTTTCGATGCCCAGGTTTAAATATGATCCGGATGCTTTTGAATGAATTTTTTTATAAAAATTGTGAAATTTCAAAGATGTAAAGAGTTTCAGGTGCCCAAAAATGAGAATATGCGCTCCTCGAAATATGCTAGAAGTCCATGGGAAATTTTTGAAGAGTGCAAATTTATGTGCAAAATATATTTTGTGCCATTGTCACACTTCTCGCTTGCCTGTGTAAAGAATAATCTTGGAATGATTCGTTGATTTTAGCGTAGAATCGCATTGATGGACAATGAAAGTACATATTTCATTCAGATCTGATGGAAATTCGTTGTAGATTGAGAAGCGTTTGTAGCAGTACAGGTCTATTGTCAATGGATATTATTGTGTCTATTGCTAATGATTGACGAACATTTCCTTTCACTTTTTAGTTCGTTGTAAAAAAGCATCATATCTGAACAACAACGAAAGTGTTTATTATATTTAGTTTTTACAAACGTTAATTTTCTAATTTTTAATGATAAATCTAGACAGCTGAGAAGGTTTCTCTGTTTATATATAAACTTAAATATGAAAGAGCAATATTTCATGTGATTCTTTTGACATATTGAACTCAGTTTATGATAAGGCCTCACTATTGAGTTGTTCGAATTAACTAACTAGAAAATGATTCATATTTTGAGTCATTTAGATAAAAATTATGCCAAAAACGTGAGAATACTTCATAAACTTGACTAATGACTAAAAACGTCACTTAAACGTAATAATCTTCTTATAAATATCCAATTACTCATCGTCATGATCTATACTTTGATTGCGTTTACGATTATAGGTAAATATGGGGAAAAATTTCATGTTTACTATGCATCAATAATACATCCTCTTTTCTTTCATTGATGTACGTGTATTGTATTGTTGCATCAAGGTATAAAATATATCATGTGTTGTCTGTTCTTTCAACTTGTATCAATCTGTGTTGATATTTATCATAGAGAAAATAACCAATCTCGATTCCTTCATTCTATCCCATAGAAGCAAGTTTATATAAAAAAAGGAACAACTAGAAATGTGTTTCTAATCGTTCTTTTTTTTTATAAAATTTTTTCTATAGGATGACAATAAAAATAGTGATACTACTAACATATAATTTTTATTTTTTAACTTTTTTTCTATTGTGCTATATTCATTATTATCACTACATACACCACAAAATATATCCCTTGATGTTCAATCATTATTTTAAGAACAATTATAAATTTAATGAATCAATGCTCTCTTATATTTTGTGTCTGTTATGTTCGATCTTGAAGTTTAAAAGGTAGTCATTTTTGTGACTCTATTTTTCAAGTAGAAATTATTTTATTTCTACTGATAAACCCACCAGCTATGACTTTGTTGCAATAAAAATAGACTTTGTTTTCAATATACTTTTAATCTTTTTCGCAGTAAATTACAACAAGAACTATTTCATTTTAGAAAAAAAACGAATTTATTTTTATTTGGTCGATTCAGCATAGTTTCTTAGTGATCAATTAAGATATTAATTGAAAAGAAAACAAATATATATTCTATAAGGTTTATCTATATGTTTTTATTGATACCAGTAATTATTTGTACCTAACCTCGTACCAATGACATGCCATTAGTAATATGGAATATTGGTTTAGAAGAACAACAAGCATTTGAACGCACATCATCGATTATCAAAGCTATTCGTGAGAGTAATGTTGATATTTTTTGTTTACAAGAAGTATGAGGTAGTCACGTAGGATATCTTAGGACAGGATTCGAGCATTTCTTGAAAGGATTCGCTCAGGCAGGGGACCAAAAAACGAAAGCGATGGACCAAGATAGAACTCGACGAACTCTATCTAACGCACACCGAGTTTTTACTAATCGACGCTATCCTCACACAGAAAACCTGAAAATACTGCTAAAAAACATGCAAAATATCGCTTTATTTCAGAAAAATCTGTCGCAATTCGTCCAGTCAGCGGACCAAAACACGAAATTGATGGACCAAGATAGAACTCGACGAGCTCTATCCAATGGATACCTTTGGGGTTCGATTCGATGCTCCGGTCCCCGACTAAATTGTCATTATGCCCGGAAATCCGAAGTTTTATGCAGAAACCCGTCGCGATTTGCACCCAAAGGGGACCAAATCATCAAGTCGACGGATCAAGATAGATCTCGATGTGCTCTATCCAATGGACACCTTATTTATCAGAATGCATGGCTCCTTCGGCCTGAAACACGCCGATAGGTACCCCAATGAAAAATCTTTTTAAAGCCGGCCTGGATTCGCCCACACAGGGGACCACGCGAGACAATCGACCAACTCAGGTACAACTCATCCTGCTCTATCCAATGGACGCTTTAATTATGAGATTCCATACCCCCTTCGGTTTGAAACAGGCCCATAGGTACCCCAATGAGTGTGGGTGTGGGTGTGGGTGTGGGGTGTGGGTGGGTGTGGGTGTGTGGGTGTGTGGGTGTGTGGGTGCGGGTGTGGGTGGGTGTGGGTGTTGGTGTGGGTGGTGTGTGGATGTGGATGTGGGTGGTGTGGATATGAATGTAATTATTAGCAATATTCACACCCACACGCACACCCACACACCCACACTCACTTACCCGCACCCACACCGATTTACGATGTTCTACCTTGTGCCTTTCATTCGCTATTTATCAAAAAGCGAGATAAGTTGTTTTATTCCTTTTGTGACTTCATCCATACATGGCTTGCCTATGGCAAAGTTTCTGCGTGTTTTTTCTGCTTATTTTTCACATTTGGCCTCATTCGACAATTATTATGCGCAAGAATTGAATCTGTCCGCTTTTGCAAAGGTATATAATCATGTGCTTGCACAAGAACATACATGGCAAGGACTTCAAACCAATAAGTACGGCGTATCTAGATGTGCACAAAAAACAAAATCACTGCCGTCAGATCGATATTATTGGAGCAGGTGAGTTTTCTTTCTTCTATAGGTAATAGATTTCACATGGTGTTTTTAGAAGTAGGCTTTTGGCTATTCGAAAGGAGGTATAAAGAGAATGTTTATGTATATGAGAATTGATGGTGTAGATATTGTTAATGTGAGTTCATTTTCATTAGATATTTTGGAAAGAAAGCAAGGAAGTTAATAATTGCACGATGGACCTAAAAAAGAATAATCGCCTCATTGAAATTTAATTTCAGACACTTGTTAATACTCGAACAATAAAATGTTTTTCTAACATCAAAAGTATGACTAGAGATTTTTGTCGATCGCTTGCCTGATCTTTCGAGGGTGGGTGTGGGTGTGAATATTGCTAATAATTACATTCATATCCACACCACCCACATCCACACCCACACACCACCCACATCCACACCCACACCCACACATAAACCCACCCACATCCA